CAATTACACGGTACAGGGGCCTTCTTGAGAAGTTTTCAGTTCCTCAGCAGATCACCGGACGCCACCACTGGACATATTCTCAGCCGTCTTAACCCACAATAAGTACAAGTGTTTTTATGAATATTACAATGTGAAATGTGTCTTGACAGGTGGATTTTGTATGTGGCAAAGTTGGCTACCCTTATCATACTGTCATGACTAATTTTACGTGAACTCCCGGGCCCATTTATCATTTTCAATAACTCCTCCCGTACTTTGGAACCGAAGTCTGCTAACATGCTTGTGAGGTACTCAGAGAACCGATGGAACACACACTCTGGTTCCTCACAAAAATTGTCCTCATGCATCGTATAACAATCACTAACAAATACTAACCTCGTAGCTGCTAGTATGATGCCCTTATAAACGAAAAAGCCCACTTGTCCATAGAATAATGTATAATCGTTTGCTGATTCAGTGTTTAGTAGGCTATAATCCTTACAGCGCAAAGAAAAAATCATCCACTTCAAGCAGTTTTGTAACTGAGGTCGTATGGATTAGTAATATACACTAGACATGGTATCAATTTACAGAAGCTGTTTAATATTTTATTGTAAATGAAAGAAAATGTGCGATTCCTTGTTTAAAATGCGTATACTTTTATACGGTTAACAATCTTCATACTACGAAGGAGTAATATCGTTTCTCTTTTACCGGTATTTCTTTAATGTATGTGGCATTATTAGTGAAGAAACGTCTGTATTCACACTATTTTCAACATGCCACAAGCTAAATTTGTATGTCGACATTATAATATGAAATAAATCCGTGTATTTCTGTTAAAGAGAACATGACAAGGATAGGATCGAAAAATCATGCATTTCATAATATTGGTATTGGCTGACACATGCTGCTACTTTCCCTATTATTTAAAGAATTTCGTGCCAAAAGATTTGCATATTCAATATGGCACGACGCGTAAGTCAATCACGAACAATAATTTCGATGGCGCACTAAGATAATTGCAGCAAATTATATATTATTATATCATTCCACATTACTAAAGGTAAATCCTCTATACACTCTGGAATATTACCAATATCTAACCAAAAAATTGATCTGCGTGACAAAAGTTAATAAACCTTTAACTCCCATTATGTCAAGATGTCCATTCTGATCGATATCAGAGGCAGACCCGCACATGAAAGAGATGTAACGCATTTTCGACTTTTTCTACGCTCACAGACGCTAAACAATCTTCTAAGAAATAACTGTGGTATGATACATGTTCTGAGATTATTTTTCCAACTATATAAATGAAAAGGGATTACTTTTTCACGACACTTGGCCATGCGAATGCAACATTCCGTTTCTATTATGATATAAGGCAGCGTACCGAAATACACGACCGAGTTGTTAGCACTCCTGCTTAATAACCTTAGTTCAAACCCCGGTTCGAAGACTAGCTTTCTTGAAAGAGTTATTTCGTGTTTTTTCTCAGTCTCTCGAAGCAAATGCTTAATTTCATGGTCCTTCCACTTTACTAATCACTGAATTATTCGAGTGGTTCTGTTCTGAGCTACCAACATCGTGAATGTGAATGTAAACTGAAAGACAAGTGTTTTCCATTACTAAGGGACGTTATAACAAAAGTTATTTCTTAAAAATGACACCCGTCAGATGTAGTGCATCAAGATTGATGCACTAACGCACTCCTTTCATAACACTTACCATTACGTGTAGTAACATAGCCGGTGATATGGCATTAATTTATTCAGAAATTTATTACCGGGCAGTCGATGAGCACTTTAATAACTGTGTTTTGAACATCAAATAATTTATCTTTATGCAGACATTTCCTGGTCAGCCCGTTCGCCCGATTTCTCGGATTGTGATTTCATTTTATGGGGTTCCTAGAAACGTAATGTGTTTCAAACTTATATAATCTCAAACGGGGATAGAAAATATATAATCTCAATTGCAGCAATAAAATATTTTACACGATTAAAGCAGCTGCTGATCTTTTTTAGTGTAGGTCTAAATTTCTTCAGCTCCAAACACTTTACTCACATAACTGGTATAAAGATCTGTCTGTCCCCACCTCGGTTATGTATTCCAGGCCTCCTCTTCACTTTCACTTCTTTCGGAACACGAATGTATACCAGGGATAAGTAATAATGTTTTGAAGGGGGGGGGGATGTATGAACGGCAACAGTCTATCTTTACTTGCGGCTGAAACTCAGTATCATAGGGCAAGTTCATTTGCCGGCGAGTACTACTTGTCAAAAAGATCACCTTCAAAATAGCGTTCGTGTTCTTCTTGCAACCTTATAGAACTTGGGGGCCAGAGGGGAAGTGAAAATAGTGAGGGGAGGTGAAATGTTTTATCCTTTTGAATGTATAAATACGAAATATGGAAGATATTCTTCAGATCAAGGTGCAGTGTCAGACTTCTTGGGTTAAATTTTTCATGATATCTTATAAAGATGGTTATACGCTATAATAAAAACCGCAAGGTAAGTTTTCCTTTAACATTTGATTATCCAGAACTATTTGACGAACTCCACGTTTTACATCATCTTTTGCTAATCTTCTGTGCTGTGTGTGAAATGGGATCTTCGTCTCAGATGTGACTTAAGCTGATTTTACACGCACGATCCCGTGCTATCATGGACTAATTCCAGTCACAAGTGACGAAGTGTGTATGTAAATGCGAAAACAACCGAGAGGTCAACACGTGTGAGTTAAAACACGCGACAATCTCGAGTGATTTATAGCATTGTACCTCAGTACATTTAATGTTGCTATCGGTAAGCTAATATGAATGATATGCGAAATTAAAATAATTTTAAATTGAGTTTATGAAAATTTATAAACAAAATATGTGTCTGTGCGAGATCAAATGTAAACAATATTAAGCTGGTACATAGATTTACTTATAACCGCATCCTGTAGATGGAAGCAGTATGTTCCTGAGTAATGTAGGAGTACTCAGGGTTCTTGAAGGTAGAGGCAGTAGGATCTTTGAAAACGTTGATATCTAGCTTCAAGTCCACACGGCGTTACAACCCAAGCGACTGATATCAGAATTCAATTGTTTTAGGTATCTAAACACTGTTTACCAGTAATGTTGTACAGTTGAGGAAAGCGATACACTTCTATTTTTGTTGAAAATAATTAACGTAAACTGTCTTATTTTCCATATCTGTCAACTGCAGTGCTTCGGATACGAGATGTTTTAAGACAACGAAAAAGTTTTAATTTCTGAAAGGTACAGGCTACTCCAGGTTGGAGCACCCATATCATCTAAACGCGTTCTATGTTATGTTGCACGCCGACTTCGATGCTCATTTGTTGCTGACACAAAACTATTAACATAATTAAACTGAATTAAGCTTACCCGCAGAGGCTGTGGGTGAAGTTAGTGACGGGGTTCAGTTTCGTTATTAAGAATGATTACCTGTTGCCAATCTAGTCATACTGCACATTAATACGGACTGACTTATTCATCACAACGATCACAATTATGCAGATCTGTTACTTATGCTACTTTTAAGTGTCTTATTCGATGAGCCGGTTCGATGAATCGGTAAAGTTCGATTTGATCTTCACGTAATGTACTTTTTATATTTGGCCAAAACGAACCAAAACCAATTCGACTTTATAAATTTCATTGGAGATTCCAATATCAAATTTAATATAAATCCGTTCGGTAGTTTTGGAAACAAACCATAAAGACCGATAATTGAAGTAACGATTATGATTTAAATAATTTATTGTTTGTGTAATTATACGAATTTTTTTAGTTTTAGTTCTTAAATATTACAAATAAACACAAAAGGAAACTACAGAAACTGAAATCGTAGTAAAGTTTAGCAAAGTCATTGTAGAGACAAATTTCAGAAGTGGTTTTTTCAGTTTAGTGTTGACTTACAGCTTTCTTTAATTTCAAAATACCGGTACTGACTGTTGAGAACAAAATAAACAAAACACGCGAACATATTATATTTTTTTAAACTCTGATATTTTTTACGAATAGCTTATTTCGAACCTTCAATTTAAACTGTATTCCTGGTTGCAGTTTAAGTGATTAATTTAAATTACTTATTATATTAGTTCAATATAATAATTTGAACGATCCCAACGGCTCGCGGACTTTTTCTTTTAATGTATTACAGGTTTGTATTACGCTGATGTTAAAACATTTGGAATTTTCTTATCTCTGACGTGGAATCAAAACCTGTGGCTTAGTAAATACTGATTCCTCGGCCTTCTTTGTGCGTTGCGAATAAAAATCGAAAATCATTCAGGCCAATCAGCTTCTTGGCAACCTTCGATCACACCGATACGGCACACCTGTTCTAAGTAGAGCAGTTTTTTTTTCGTATCCAGTACAAACCATTCAGCATGGTGTGCATTGGTGGTTAGCAGGATTCACGACCCATCAGTACATGGGTTCGACCGGGACCGAGACATTTAACGCTCCTGCTGTGAACCCCTTAGTAGAGCAGTAATGAAGTGTTTCAGTGCAATGTGATGCTAGCTGCCAGTATCAGGTATCAGTTGGCAGACAATTGAATAAAACGAATAATACTGAATTAATATATTTTCTCAAGTCACGAAGAGTATAACGAATCGTTAAATGCATTTTGAATCCACGCGTTTTTGTCTTAGTCAGGAACAGTAGCATTACGCATAAAAAGTATTTTAAAGCGATTCGTGTTGTCCAGATCACAAAGAATGAAATGGGCAGATACATGTATTTCAAATAAATATATAAAATGCAAGGCAAGTGCAATGAATTAATCATAAATGTATTTGAAGAAATGTATTTGAAGAAATGTTTTTAAAGTCATATAAAATAAAATGAATGATTAAATACATTCTGAAGAAATATGTTTTGTCCAGGTTAAAAATAATAAAACTACCTATCATATGCATTTGTAAGATTCATGTTAAGAGAAGTGTTCTAACTTAGGGTAACTTAACCTGATAACAGCAGCAATTTTTTGTATCTTTAGATATGGATATTTGTTGCAATTTTGGCAGCACTGTCCAAACTTTGCTTCGCAGAAGATAATTCGCAGAGTAAAAGTATTTCTGAAACTTCTACATCTAACGCACCTACAGCAGATGCTCCACGCACGAAAAGGCAAGGTAAGTTAAACGTTAATGCATTTTTCTGTTATTAATAAATTACTGCGCACTCTGTTGCCATTAACAATAGCAAACAAATTGAGCCTGATATGAAACCAGAATCAGCAAACACGTTACACATAACATAACCCTACTTGATAAATCAAGTGAAATTATTTAAAAATTTACGATTTTGATTATTTGATTCAGAAATGAGGCCCATGATGAAATTAAATTAAGAGAAGGGTTATTTTGGAAACACTTGTTTTTATTCAGTTCACAAATTATATCATCACCCCTATGATAAATAAACAGCGTTTCGTTTGCCAATTGTATTGAATAGTGTCAGACATTATCACTTTCTCTGAAGAAAGAACAGTAATTAATTTATTTGCAACTGTTTGAAAACAAAGTGACCATAAAAGCTTTAAGGCCTGATAAGAACAAGAGAACAACAGCGGGTATTATGTAGGCCACTTAATATTTCTACGACAGCAAAATATACAAAGGTATAATTGGCATACTGGGAACGATCCATTCTTCAAGTGCCTGAGCACTGCGGGTCCCAACTTTTTCGTTGTCTTGATCTATAGACATTCGGTAGGACTCCTCTCGGCCCGTCGAGAGGCCTCTACCTGTACACAGGACAGCACAACACAGAAAAAAGCAGACAAACATCCATGGCTTGAGTGGGATTCGAACCCACGGTCCCAGCGACCAAGCGGCAGAAGGCCCACGCCTCAGACCACTGCGGACCCTTAATTGGCATACAGATTACTAATAGGGAAACGTTAAGAAACCTGGAAGGAGACAGATCTGACCAGTGTCAGGCAGTAGGAAAGTTACACTTCGGGTCTGCAAGCAGAGACGTAGCCCATTTAGCTAGGTGCTAACAATAACAGCAAAGACTTAAGTTAAATTACTTGTTTCTTGGCCTATGATTGGAATCTTCCTTAATATTCGCATTAATTATTTTCGTAAAATATCGCGGCGTGTTTGTATGTAACGAAATATTAAGTGGGATTACTTGCGGTATACAAATAAATGTTTATATCGTAACAGCGTTAAACTGCATTTAGAGATATTGTTCGAATCATGCGCCAGGAGATATCCGTGCCATTTATTTTGCGCAGAGGAAGTAAGGCAAACATAATTCCACAAAGACTGTATACCAGCAGTTGCCGGTCTCTGAATCATGTTGTAAATTCCAGTGTGTTACTATTCTAAGGAAAGAGAACAGAATTCCCGTAAGAAACAAAACCCTAATCCCACGGATAATTGCCATTAAAAAAACTGACAATCGCTAAACTATTAAAGATTTTCCCAGCCTTGTATGAACCCGAAGGTTTATTACAGTGTTCGCAAGAGCCCGCCACCGGTGCCTATCCTGATTCAGATTAACCCAGTTTACAACCTCCTATCCTATTTCCGAGGCCATGTGCAATATTTCCAAACATGGGCGTTCTTTCTGGCAAGAATTTATTAGGCCTCTGCCCGACCTCTGAACTGGACGATCGCCCCTTGTCAGCCGTCCTCGACAGCTACCCTCCATGTCTGAAAGCCTTCTCCATCCGTCAACCTGTCTCAAATTAGGAAAAAATAAGTTTTTAAGGACTAAAAGTGTTACATCGGCAAGAAAACTCATGGTTCTGTTTACGAGAGCTCGCCATGATGCCCATTTCCTGCAAGAAAAACCGGTTCGCAGTCGGAGACGTTTGGGATCTGTCTCAATGTCACATGAAAGAAAATGTTTAAGTGCTCTATAAGTAGTATCAATTGTCAGAGCGATTAAGTCGAGAAGTATGAGATGTGCTGTGCATGTAGCGCGCATGGATGGGACAAGAGGTGTGCACCGGGTATTGGTTGGGAAGCCTGACGGTAAGAAACCGCTGGGGAGACCTAGACGTAGATGGGAGGATAATGTCAGGCGGGATCTATGGGAGATAGGAGTTGAAGGAAACTGGATTTTACTGGCCCAGGACAGGTTCCGGTGGAGGGCTTTGGTTAATTCGGTGATGAACCTTCGGGTTCGGTAAGCCATCTAGTTAGTTAGTTAGTTTATAAGTAGTATCATCCTTAAAATGTTCGTTTTCTTTACTGAATGAAATTCATAGCAAACTAATAACTTCAAGACAAAAGGAAGAGTTTCTCGTTCGACGTTTCAGAAGGGCCAACACCGTGAAAACACAAACAAGTAAATCACGCGATACCGCCTGTTTTTTTAAAGAAGAAACATAACCGGTAAGTATAAGTCCTTCATTATGGATTATCCATGTATTTTCACCAATGACATGTGACATAGAGGAATGTCATCTTCCTAAAGACACCGGCTGAATAGGCGACGGTTACGCCTACTCTGCTTAAAAGTTGTTTGAAACCCTTCTTGCACAAACTTTGTGCAAGTGAAGTCTGACGTGGATGATTTCATGGGTCTAACCGTGTCATACAGAAGACGCAGCGAGTCTTGGCGTGTGAGGTTATTTTCCTTTTGTAATGACAGCGGATCTACTGCTCCTTCAGAGTGTACACCGTGACCGATTAACTGGTCCGTTATGATGTTTCTGCGCCTACTCAGTCTAAAATAAGTTCAAAAACAACTTCGTCGTTCAGTAAGGTAATTGCTTGTAAGACTGAAAAAGAGTGTCGATTTTATATGAAGTTAGTCGAGTGTGAGTAAAATTGTTTGGAAGCATCGGTTTTAGGTGGAAGATACGACATGCAGTCTGGCTTTGCGCGTTTCCTATGGAATTTTCAGTTTTGCTATTCCACTTTGCGAGCTCAGGTTCTTTCTTAAAAAAAACGGCAACTCATGTACGGGATTGCAGCAGAATATGGACCAACATTCCGATCTGAGCTGCCACCTCGTCATCCCGACCTGAATGCGTGGAGAATCGTATATCGATGAATCACTGATTTCTTTACGAGCTGTCTATTTTCGACAGAAACCAACAGTTTGCAGTCTGCTTTTTCTTGAGCCTGTTCGCAAGTGCGAGATGCTAATTGTGTGTGGCACTTTCAGGTTACTCTAGAGGTGGTCAAAATTCAGGATTTGGAGGGTCTGCCACAGGACTTTCTAACGCATACCTGCCTCCAAACGGCCAATTTTCCATCCAAAGACCTATGGGCTCATTCAGTACTCTAGACCCTGCAAGAGGCGGTGGATTCGGAGGACCGTCGTTGAGGACCTCAACATCATTTGGAGGTATCAGCGGTGGTTTTGGTGGTTCCGCCCAGGGGCCATCCAATGCATACCTGCCACCACGTAGAGGCAGTGGAGATATTAGACCTCATAGTACTGAATTCGGTAACCAAACACCATCAAGTCTAGAACGACATAACATCAATGGCGCGCCACAGTTCGCTGATCAAAGTGCTGGTCTGGGACCTTTCCAAGGATTTCCTAGTGGACCAGGTAATGTACCAGTATCTGGAGGTGGGAGATATGGTCAAGGAACTTCTGGTACTTACGATTCCTCAGCATTCGAAAGAAACGTGTTTGGTGGAAAAGGGCCTTCTGGAAAGTATGGTGCACCAGATTCTAGACGTAGTGGATTTGGCGGTCAAGGGCCTTCCGGAGGACGCCCTGCAGGAACACATGATGCGTCAACTTTTGGAAGTAGTGAATTTGGTGGTCACCGGCCTTCTGTAGGAAGACCTTCAGGAACGTATGGTGCACCGACTTCTGGAGGTAGTGATTTTGGTGCTCAAGGATCTTCTGGAAAAGAACCTTCAGGAACGTATGATGCAACTTCTGGAGGTAGTGGATTCAGTGGACCTTATGAAGGAAAACGGTTTGGAGGAAGGCCTTTTAGTGCTGATGGAGCTCCATCCTCAAGTTCTGGAGATCCCTCAAATATTTACTTACCGACTGCTGGTGGTGTGGGAAAGACTTCACAACTTTCTGGAGGTTCTGGCACTCAAAGTTCAAGAATACCCTTTAGCTTTCATGAAGTTCCAGGTCTGAGTGGAGGATATAACGGTTCTCCCAATGGTCCGTCGAACACATACCTTCCATCATCGGGTGGTATATTTGGTCACGGACCATCCAGAAACAGCGGATCTGCGTCTGGACAATTTTCAGGAACGTACAGTTCATCAAATGCAGGTGGATCAAGCAGGGGACGTGGAAGATTCTCTGATGGCAATGATAGTGGTTTCGGTGTACCGAGAACTTCAAATTTATTTGGTACGACACTTGCAGGTGGCCCAATTGAAGAACCAAGTACACTCACAGGAATTGCAGGTGGCTTTAATGGACCCTCTAATGCATATCTACCTCCAAGTTCCAATTTTAATTATCAGGGATCTTCTGGAAGTGGCACTTTTGGTGGTCCAAAACATGGAGGAAATGATGTTGGCAGTGGATCTGGTTCGTATAGACCTCCAAATGCTTTTACTAACACTAATTTCAGTGCATCACTTGATAGTCCATTCAATAATTGTGAGTCTCCTGGCACTGTCAGTCGAAGTAATGATGATATTGGCTTCAGAGGGTCATTATTTGGTCCATCTAATACCTACCTATCCCCGGGATCAGGAGGAAGTTCTGATCCAAGTGGGTTTGGACGCCTGTCAAGTAAGTACAGAGTCCCTAATCAGGAAGGAGTGTTCGATCAAAGACTTCAGGATGGCAGTAACAGTAACCGTGGACTACAAAGAAACATTCCTGAAATATCATTTAACTCATATGGTACATCAAGTCAAGGAAGTGGTTCAGGAAGATCTACTAATACACATGGTGTACCCAGTCAAGGACAGCAAGACAACTCTGCTTTTGAAGGTTATAAATATTAATACACAGTCGACTGATATATATGATTCAGTGTGACCGACTTAATTGCATGGATCAGGGAACACCAATATTTTTTTCTGGAGACAAGCAACTAGATGATTACAATTTAATAATTACCAGAAGTTAAATAACTACATTATGAATGGATTTATAGCTTGTGTTCTCACATCAAAACATTTTCAATAAAAAGTTTTGGCACTAAAATATCACAAAAATAGCCTGTCTAAGAAATAGGCTACAAGTAATATTTATATAGAACACCATCAATTAGACATCTGGCACAACAAAACAATAAGACACAAAAATTATCAGTGATTAATCAATAAATTACATGTTCAAATTATCATGACGACAAACCCTTGGTGCCCTGAGGTGTGCAGTTAGTGAGTGGTCTGAGTACTTATATCACATAAATGTATTTGAAAGAATAATAAAGAAATGACCCCTAAATCGTTGGTTAACATCGACCAGACTGCACAGCACAACAACCCAGAAGACAGAAATCTTCAAAATAAAGAGAATTTTAAAAATATATTTTATACACTTCCAATCGGCAATTCGTTGGTCCCAGCGATTGACTGTGATTCTTTCATGTGACTGATGTGTACAGTCATCTCTGCTGTTAAGCGATAGTTGCATTCACGTAGGACGCCGACCTATAGAAAATCGCATAGTAAAAATAACCCCGGTACCTCCGCAGAGATTGAATTAGTCCTTCAAAAGTTTAAAGCGCCAGGAATGAAATTGCATAAGAGCAAACTCGCATATGCAAAAGTTTGCATTTCACAAACAGCTTTTACCGATTCATCGATCTCATTGGAGCGAATTCGCATTGACGAAACATACATAATTGCAGAGGTGACTGCATTTATAATTTTTATTCAAAATCAGCGATGTACGAATTACGATTTAGTATAAGAATCAGTACGAGATACATTGTAAAACGTTATAAATAATAGTAAAATATATTTTTTCTTTTCGATTTTTGACTTGCTGGTTTCAAAAGCTGCGTTATTCAGAATCGTCGCAAATCGAGGGCTACCTGTATAATGGATTCTTCTCGGCTATCATCCACGTTAGGTGGTTTAATGGACAAACGTCTACGTTTCAGGAACCAGCTTCATCCTCGAGGATGAGGACGGTTCTCGAAACGTTGATGTTTACTCCTATAAACCACCTGACATGGCTGGTAGCCGAGAAGAATTCATTATACTGAAGACAAGAATTTATCAAATAATTTTGTGGCTTGTATGGAATGTGCCCCTACCTCAACAGTTCTGGTGTTGTCACTCACTACTCATAAATGCACACTTAAAGACCAAGAAACCTCCGAAAAGGGAGGCGGCAAAAACCCACGAATGGGATGTAGAGCCAAGAAACAACAACATATTACAAATCAGAAGCATCACTGGAAGTGTGATGATTCATTCTCTCGCTCTGCTTCGTCCTACGTCATTGATGATGTGGGGGATTCGTAAGAATGTGCATAATCCTCTTCGTCCTCTGAATATCTGAAGGTATGTTGGAATCAACCTAGAACAGTAAACTGTTTCAAATGTATTCCAGCACTGTTGTGGATGGAACTACTTCATCAATCGTACAGATTACAAATAACAGCTATTTTCTGTGCATTTGCCAGAATGTGAAATTTGGAAATGGCATCAGCAACAGCCGAGTCGTCTCACAGCAATGGTTTAGGAAAAGAATTAAGCTGCTCACATGCATTCAGTCTATCAACGTGTTTCATGCAGTCCGGTGAGGAGTTCCTTTGTCATGGCAACGGTTCAGTAGACAAGATATCGCTGATTTCATCGGTACACAATAATCGGGAAATACGGGTGAGACTATTTCTCTGTGCAATTGTGACATATAACGGGCCCTTTCTCAGCGGCCCCCGATAATATAAGAGTCTGGAGCAGTCATGTGCTGCTGTTGATTTGGAAAAGAAGGGAACAACGTGGAGGGAAACCCACCCCAATGCCAGTTAAGGAATATAATTTTGGTTGTGCCTTGTTCTTAACTTGGAAACTGTTCCTTGTCTGTTGTTATTTACCGTACCTTACCTCATTTTCTTCAGCAACTTCGGACTCATGATCTCTCACATAATATTCACCTGCCCCTTCACCACTTCATCCAAGTAATGAGTTATCCACTTCAGACATGGAAAGAAGTTCGTCATTCACGTTGCTCCCGCCAGTGTTTTGCAGCATTTTTAGGAGATCCCTCATGATGTCCTGTTGTCTGTGTATTGCCTTCTGCTGAGTATAAACCATATTGTCCTGGAATCTTTTTACTATAAAAATTTGTGATTAGTCGTTGTCGTCAATAAATTACGTCATCAACAATGTCAACAGATATTTGTTTACTCGGAATTGTTGTGTTCCACAACAATGCCGAGTAAACAAATAACGCTTCACAACAAAGAAATCAAAAAATATCAAGCCAGTCGCATTATCACTGCTCCAGAAGGAGCACTTAGCATTCTTGAATATTGACTGACAGTTGGCCTAAAACATCAGAAAAGTGAAAGAAGACGTTATCAAGTATTTGAAGTACCAACTCCAACAACTTCAACAAGGTAAACTGATACTCATTTGATATATTACGATTACGAAAACTATTATGAAAACAGACTTTATGATCGATTTTAAGACGAAGATTTGCAGGGGTGGGGCTGGACGTAAAAAGTTGACTGAACAAGAACTTTTGACCTCTGAACAGCGACGTAAAGAACTACAACATCAGACCTATTTAAGAAATAAAGAAAAGCGAAAGAAGACTTATATTGATAAATGTAGAAAATTGACTGACCTAGAAAAGTTGGCCTCTGAACAACGACGTAAAGAACTACAACATCAGACCTATTTAAGAAATAAAGAAAAGCGAAAGAAGACTTACATTGATAAATGTAGAAAGTTGACTGACCTAGAACAGTTGGCCTCTGAACAGCGACGCAAGAAACTGAAATATCAGACGTATTTAAGAAATAAAGAAGAGCGAAAGAAGACTTACATTGATAGACGAGACCATATTAACGACACACGTAGAAAAACTTATTTGGTAAGAACAGAGGAGAAAATAAAACAAGACGCTGAAAAGGAAATTATTAGATACCAAAGTAAATTAGTAATGAAGAACCAAGGAAGACTGCTAATAGCAGCACATTTTAACAACGACGACCATCAACATTATCTCGGACCTATGAACTATGACTGTATTCATTGCAAAGCGCTTCACTGGCTTGATGAATCGACTCAACGTTCCAGTAAATCGTTTTATGATTGTTGTGCACATGGAAAGGTTGTGCTTGATTCGTTGCCTGAATACCCTGATGACCTATTTAACAAATAAAGAAAAACGAAGGGAGAGTTACATTGATAAACATAGAAAAACGCATACAACAAGAACAGAAGAGAAAAAAGAAAAAGTAAAAACAGACGAAGATTAGCAATGGTGTTGCTGGACGTAGAAAGTTGGCTGATCAAGAACAGATGGCCTCTGAACAGCGACGTAAAGAACTAAAACATCAGAACTATTCAACAAAAAACAGAAGAGAAAAAAAAGAATATTTGCAAGGGTGGGGTTGGAAGTAGATAGTTGACTAACCAAGAACTGTTGGCCTCTGATCAGTGACGTAAAGAAGTAAAATATCAGATTACAGGAAGCGCTCCGAAAGGATTAGCCATCGTTGACGTCAAAAAATGACGTCATCAACAATATCACCTTATATTTGTTTATACACGGGTGTTAGTTTAGTGTCTTACTCAAGATTTTAAAACGCAACCAACCCCCTTCGGGGGGTTGGTCAGTTGTTTAAACCCCCCATTCGGGGGGGTTAATTTGGTTTCTTACTCAGGGGTTAAAACACTCGAATGAGACACTAAACTAACTCCCCTTTGGGACTAACCAAGGTTGGTTGCTCTAGTAGTAAAAAATGTTAAATATAATATATACTCTTAGGGAAGGAGGTATTTTGCATGATATGTAGAACATGACGAGTTATTTTCTGCTTCAAGATACTAAGATATTAGGAAAGATATGCATGCTCCAAGGAATGTCAGTTTTGGATATGACATCTCTGATGGCAGCTTTCAGTGCAAGCGGGAGGGATCTTTTTCATAGGGGAGGTTTTGCTCAGGTAATCATGTAATAACAGAGGATTTCCCCACAAGGTTGTGGGAATACATTGATATTCCCCACACAGTCACTGCCACTCGCAGAAATGGATGTGATTAGTCCTATGTACTGTTTGTTATTGTTTGCTTTTAGCAAATTTGGAAATGTGCAGGCACTTTTCAAACAAGTTCTCAAATGTCAGACTTCAAAGCTGTTTAAGTGCACTACTGAAAATAATTTTATATTTTGTAAATTTGTCATAACATATATCCATTGGAGCACCCTATATAGGTTTCATGACTTTGATCGCACTTTGTAATCTCTTTCCATAATCTCAAGACTAGCTTGGCTGGATGAATGAATAACCTGTCAACACATTGGGAGAATTAGGGAGGCCAAAGCCCACTCCGGGCTGTAGCGCCTGGGGAGAAGAAGATATTGCGAGAATTATGGCGGTGAATAAGGAATCTGCTTGCTGCTGAAGTAACATGCACATAAACACGCATCCCTTGGAAGGCATTCAAACCTACAACAATAGCTTTCAGTGTAACCTAAGACTAACACAACAAACCTAGGTCTTTCAGCTTGAGTTGTGAAACAACTATTCAGAATTGACCAACTGATCAAAGGAACTTGCTGCGTCCTTCATCAGTTACCTTGCAGGTAGAGACAGGAAGGAATTAGAAACTTTTACCAGACTACAGGACCCTATTTCCACGTTAAAGGGACATGTAGTGACAGAATTCATAAAATCATACTTGGAAATCCCCTGTTCCATTAATTATGTTGAAAACAAAGCCACATGTGATCATCATATGGTGTGTTCATGGCCTTAAGACACATATGTGATAGTGGAAACCTTCTAGTAAGTACAGGCTTCCGACTTATATAGTCTTTGTTCATTGCACGTCGCTCTTTAATCCCGGCCTTCAGCGATTTGATGAGACATTTCACTTTGCCTCCCTTGAGCTCATCGTTCACCTCGAGCTCATCATCCACCTCGGGGTCATCGTCCACCTCAGGGTCATCGTCTACCTCGAGCTCATTTTTGTGATCCTAGGACCAGAATGATAACATTTACACTTATGCGTCACATAATTATGATATTGGAGGAGAGATCTAAATCCAATTCAGTGTTCACAGCAATGATTTTCTTTACAATGGGTTTATCTTGGAGCAAATCCAATTTGCACCCTTCAAATTTAAGTGAGGGAGCTAAATCTTTGTATTTCAATGCACCTACTGTTGGCACTTTCACAGAAGAGTTCAAATCTGAATTCAAGGGGGGGTAGAAAGAAGAAAACATCTTTTTCAATAATTTCATCATCCCTTGGATCAGATGTTGAAGTAATTCTCAAAAAATTCCAAATAGACAACAGAGAATTGCAAAGCAGAGAAGTTACCGAATGAAAATTTCTGAGTGTATCTCTTCTGAAATGTTACCAACTCTACCTTCCTAAAAATAAAAATGCCCCTCATCGCTGCAGACATGCCATATGTGCAAGGGCGTTGTTTCGAAGTTCCCATGTATGTGATAATCTGTTTAAAAAAATTAAGCATTTCAGATCAAAGTTAAGGACAGACATTTGCAAAGTGAATAAACGGATTCCTCCAATAGTATCAGAGCGGACATTTGTGACTTGATGGAACAGAAGCATCATCAGATATCAAATTAATGGTTGCTGGTTATAAACTGTTCATATGACATACAGAAATTTAATTACACTAATGAATTTCTTCAAGAAAATATCACTTGTCTATTTGAAGATATCTGCATAAATGTTAATTTATTTAACCACTTGAATATATTGCTAACGATATAATTTATTTATATAATTGGGTGCCAAGTTTAAGTTTAACCAAGAAAGAGCACTCTACTTTGCAGTGTGGCTTGCGCGTTCCAAAGTTTGTACACTCCTGCTTTAAAAAATTCTACACTTACGGCCAATGATAATCTTCTTCCTGTCTCTCGGCCTGGTTGTCTTGAAGCTCTGTCACGTTCTTCAGGGTGGAAATCTATCACCAGAGAAAACAACATTCATAATTCTGTTACAATGAAGTTACTAGTGTAAAAATCTTAATTAAATTCAGTGTTTGTATCATAGTTGAAAAATATAGAACAGTTTTACATGTTGCTCTCCATATCTGGTTGAGTTGTGAGTGGACTGATTTTGACTAAATTTGGTATTTAGTCCTTATTACACGAAAAAGTTTGACAGAGAATACATTATAGCCACCAAGGGCTCTCCACACTTACCACTTTCATACGCAATGGTTGTTTCCTAAGTCTCCGTTCCAAGGCTTGAAGATAGCGTTTTGTGTTCGCCACCATCACCAGGCACGGCCCTTTGATGTCTGGTAGAAAATCCTGGAAGGAAAGGAAAATGACATTTACAATTGTACTCTGTCTGCTGTTGGAAAAATGAGGTGAAATGTGGTATTAACAGTACGAACAATAATATAAGGCCACATTCAGGCAGACAGAGCGACCTTGTACATACCCAGAACACGTAAAAGATGAAGAACATCATGAATACGAATTAAATAAATTTGTGTTATTTTGTTTGTATAAATTTCTTATATTTTACAATATAATGATAAAAACATGTTTTGATCAAATGCATAATGGCAGCCTTCTTAGTGGCTATAAAACATTAAAGAAATAAAGGCATGTAACGGTACAACTGTCCTTTTTCTGATTCCTGTGGCTCTACAACTTATTGGGGGTCTTCACCGCCTCCTTTTGAAGATTTCTTAGTCTTTTGAAGTATGCATTTGTGAGTAGTGAGTGACCAACTATTTAATGTGTGGTTAAATTTTGTACTGCAAAATTCAAGACCTACAAATGTTTATGAAACACACATATTTAGACGCCACTAAGAAATACGATGACTACTAGACGCTCGCATGATACGTATGAGGAACTGCATCTTGCATAATTTTGTAAAAGTAATTTACATATTATGACACAGGGCAAAACACATAACAGACAATAGAACATTTAAAACAACAAATGATGAATTTGTGTATGTCCTGGATCGTTATCCATTCTCCATCAAAGAAAACGCTGCACAAATATATCATACGAGGTGCGATCCGAAAGTTTCAAGACTGTGTCAATAGCGGGCGAACCGGATGTAGTACGAGCTTCTGCC